CAACGAAGAGGATAAAGAGGAAGACGATGACGATCTCGACGAAATCGTAGGTAATATCTACGATGACAACAACGGCGACGACTCGATGTCAACGGCAACGACATAATATCGATGCTGAGGAAGAGGACTGCGATGAGGATGATGAAAATGGCAACTAAGGGAACGATGAAGCCAAGGGTGAATGCGATGATGACGGCGACGACTCGATGTCAACGGCGACCACATAAAATCGATTCTGACGAAGACGACGGCGATGAGGATGATGAAAATGGCGACTAAAAGGACGATGTAGCTGATGGCGAATGCGATGACTACGGCGACGACGAAGATGACGAATGCAATGACTAGAATGACAGCAACGGCAATGACCACATTTGCGACGAAAATAGTGAGGACAATGGCGACGCCAACGTCAACGGACATGATGACAATGACGACGACGATGACGTCTACAACGAAGCCGACAACTACGATGTCATCAATGGCCACAACAACGAAGATGACGACAACCCTGAATGCAAAAACGAAGGCGAAGGCGACGGCGAAGATGACGGCGACGGCGACGGCGAAGGTGACGACAACGGCGACGGTGACGGTGACGGCGACGAGGAAGGTGACGGCGACGGCGAAGATGACGGCGACGGCGACGGCGAAGGTGACGACAACGGCGACGAGGAAGGTGACGGCGACGGCGACGGCGACGAAGAAGGTGACGGCGACGGCGACGGCGAAGGCGACGGTGACGGTGACGGCGACGACGAAGGTGACGGCGACGACGAAGATGACGGCGACGGCGACGGCGACGGCAGTGTCTCTCGGCGCGCTCAATGAAGCCCCGAGTGCGATTGTTGTGCCGGTGGAGCTAGAGGTCCTCCTTGCGTCTATCGATCGCATCGTCTTTTGAACGTGAGCCTCAGTCTCTGAGGGGAAGTAGCGGTGCGGGGCTGCACAGGCTGATGGGAAAATGATAGCTTTGCACCAGCAGACAAGAGATGGGCGAAGAATCAAATAAAGAGAAGCCAATCTACGAGATCCACTTGGACAAGCTGATCGACTCGCTGCGGCTGAATATCGAGACGCCCGGCGTACGCATGGAATTAAACGAACTGGACTGTATCGCGCTGTGCTGTCTCGTGAAGCCGATCTTCGAGAGCGAGAACATGCTGCTCGAGCTGGCCGCCCCGATCAAAGTGTGCGGTGACATCCACGGCCAGTTCTACGACCTGCTGCGTCTCTTTCTGCTCTGCGAGTATCCGCCCAAGACGCGCTACCTCTTCCTCGGCGACTACGTCGACAGGGGGCCGCAGTCCGTGGAGGTGTTGTGTCTCCTCTTCGCCCTCAAAATCAAGTACCCCAGAGGCTTTTTTATGCTGCGTGGCAACCACGAGAGCGATATCGTCAATCGTATCTACGGTTTCCGCGACGAGATCCGCGAGCGCTATGGAAAATCGAAGCTCCGCAAGCATTTCTCCAACGTCTTCAGTGTCATGCCGGTGGCCGCGATCATCGAGAACAGCATCTTCTGTTGCCATGGCGGTCTGTCTCCGGAGCTGTTGCAGGACAACGTGACCGGCCTGCAGGAGATGATAAACCCCATTCCTCGACCTGTCGATGTGCCCCGCCAGGGCCTGCTCTGCGATCTTCTCTGGGCGGATCCGGCCGATTACGCGCCCAACGGCGAGATGCAGCTCGGCTGGACGCCGAGTCCTCGCGGCTGTTCCTGGTGCTTCGGACACGATGTCATCGACAAGTTTCTCGACAAATTCGGCCTTGATCTGATCGTGCGAGCGCATCAGGTCGTCGAGGACGGCTACGAGTTCTATCACAATCGCAAGTTGATCACCGTCTTCTCGGCGCCCAACTACTGCAATCAATTCGACAACGCCGGAGGCGTGTTCGTCATCAAAAAAGAGGAGGAGTCGTCCTCCGTGTTGGAGGGCGGCTTCCAGATCATTCGACCCGAGAAGAAGTTCAACGCGATGACGCTCAATCGTAGAAGGAGTTCAGAACTGCTCGAGGAGTAATGTCAAGCCGGCCCGACTTCCGCGGTCCGCAGACATCACCGCGGCCATCTTTTTAGGCTTTTCTCATACATCCCATCCCACACACACCGACACACACACATACACACATACATACATACACATACACACACTTTCCGACCG